GCTTTGGGGGACATCTAAACACAAGCCATAGCATAATTTTTCAGAATATTTCAGAATAGAGCACCCAGACACTGAGCAGCCAGGGTGATATTTCAATTTTGTAACACAAATTTGAAAGATTTCAAAAGGGACTTTGACTCTACCTGAATCAGATACAGCTTGAGGCAGGTAGCCAGAAGTTGGGGGTATGTCATGGAAACATGACTCCTTTTATGTAAACATTAAAAGTGGAGGAGAGCAAACTCCTGCCTCCCCATATCAGAACTATTTCCAGAAGACGATAAAAGGTAGGTGAATCAACAGATGTTCACTACATTCCACCCCTTAACCAATACATGCACACACAAGGGAGTTCACACATGTGCAGATACATGTAGATTTCCTTCTGTACTACTGCATTTTGGCAAAATATATAATTATATGTCCTTCAGTTGACTCAGATTTCTATTGACATTCATAAAAGGCTTTGTTCCACAAAGCTACATATGTTCTATGATACTCTCTACCAGTTATTAGGATTATTTTGGACTGGAGCTTGTCTGTCTCATCTTGTACAATGAAGGCTCCAAGAAGTAACTGAAATATTTGACAATCCTGCAATACTACCATGGAGTCAAGTCCTGAGAAGATGGACCAAACACTTTATCAACTGTGTCTCACTGCATAGCAAAGATTGCCTTCTTTCCAGACAAGGATGGAAAGATGAGCATGTCTTCTTTTGCTCTCCTCACTGCACTCATTTTCTCTGATATCTTGGTAACTGAAAATCTCCGTTTCTAGCAGCACTTCTTCATTAGTTAGGTTTCATGTGGTCAACAATAACAGAAGTGGTCCATGGATAACTTTAAAAAGACATTGCTAATAGGAGAAACTAGGTCATGACATCCCATCCAAGGGAGAGCAGCCTTGCCTGGAGATAGGCAGGGACCAGTGTGAGCACAGGGATCATGGCTGGTGTCATCCATGACCTTCACTCCAAGACAGCTCAGGTAACAACTCTCTGGCCCCAGGTCTCAAGGTTCAAGGTTTAAACTTCTGGCTTGATTATCCAAGCCCTGGCCTGAGTCACTTGCCTACCTGGTGGCCAAGCCAGGGTAGCAGAGTCACATAGCACAGACACGGGAGAGAGGGTCAGACAGAGCCCCTGGTGATGGGCATTGTGTTGAGCCAGGCAGCAACTCCATGGGGTCTACATGGGCCCAAGTTAGACGAGCTTCAGGTATTATTGTTATTTTTCTCACAAATGTTTATAAGAAATTGTTTGGCATTTCCCTTCCCTTTTAGAACTATAATGTGTTTATAAAGTATATAGGTATAATTTGCTCTATCCTTTTTTTGTTTTGGTACCAGGGATTGAACTCAGGACCTTGCACTTGCGAGGAAGGCGCCAGAACCACTGAGCTAAATCCCAGGCCCAATTTGCTCTATTCTTAAATAGACGTCCCAAATCACTTCCAGTTTCTTTTAAACTTCTCCACTCCCTGATTGATCTGTCTGTTCACAGGATATTTTTGAGTAATTTTTGCAAGAACGGTGTCTGAATGGTGTGACCTATGGCCATATGTTTTATTTATGATGTTTCATTCATTGCCTTCTAGTATTAAAAATTTAATCTGGTTAGAGGTCTCTTCCCCAAAGGAACAGCTCTACAAAAACCCTATTATCTTTTGGAGTTTCGTGTTGTAAAAGAAAAGCCGGAGTCAGCTGATTTTCCTTTTGGTAGGAAACATATTTCTTTCTGTCTCGGTACTACTTTGACTTTTTTCATTATCTTTGCCAGTAAATTTCTTTTGTTAAGGGAGAATGAGGATAGTTAGAACAAGAATTACACTTCTCTTCCAGGACCTATGGAAAGCACCTCTGTGAGTACTAAAAATACACCCTCAAAAACTCAAACTCTAACAACAGAATGTCTTCCTAAAATATCACATGCCAAAGACTCTGACTACTTCCATTTCCCCTTGAGCCATTTATGAAAATGTGCACACACATGTAGGAGGAAGGAGGGGTGAGGATTCGTATGCAAGGCTCTCCCCCTCCCGTCCTCTGGATGGGTGCAGCACCCTGGGTACAGTGGTGGGAGCAGGAGCCAGGGCACCACCCTCCTGACTGCATGGGGCCAATACCTCTGCTCTCTGCAACCTTGGTGGCCTCGGTGTTGGTGGGCTTTCAGCTCCAGCCTGGCAAGCACATTCCTTGGCCATGCCCACTATACACATCTGCCTCACCACCACCCAAATTCAGAAGACACACCCCCTTCTGGGGAGACTTTGTTTTGATTCCTTTACTCTGAAGGCAGGGAAAAGTTAAGACACTAAAAACAGAGTTTTCAAATGCGTGTTCTGTCCCTTCACATCCCACACAAGACAATGTCCAGGTGGCATTCAGCAACAGTGGACCCCATTTCGGCCCTCTGTTAAAGGCACTGAGCATCTGGGCCAGTCATCTTTAAGTCACCTCTCTTGCAGACCCAGTGGGTTCTGACTGTCACAGCCTGGCCTCCCCACTCTACCCTATGGTCTGTGAGGCAAGAGAGACAACAGGGGCCAACACGGGACAGCTTTCCTTGGCAAGAGTCAGGTCTCTAGAGGGGAGCAGGAAGCTAACCTTGGGATGGGCTAGACAGAGCTCAGGATTCTCAAGGAATACAGCTCCAGGCCTCGCTGGACAATAGCAGCTGCAGCCACAGCTGCTTTTCTTACATCCACCTCAGGATGCTGCAGTGCTGATCAGTCCCTTGGACTCTGGCATATGGTTGGTTATTATCCATAATGCCCCTGCTGTTTGAATTTGCTTTTTATGAGTATTTTAATGAGAAGTTGGGGCGGGGGGAAGTGCATCAGGCTGAGTCTGAAGATGGATAATTTTGAAGAGTGCTCCCTGAAGGTAGTGAGCAGTGCAGGAAGTTGAACTCTCAATATCCCATAGCAACCAAGTGAGACAAGAGGGATGGCACCTTACTGTGGGTCCAGGAACTGAGACGCAGGCAGGAAAGGCTGGGGGCGGATCAAATTCTGCGGGGCACCAAGAGAGCAAATGATTTATTTGTTCAAAGATGCACCAGTGGAGTGTGAGAACTGACACTGAAATTGAAGTTGACTCAGCCGTTCACATCTGGTGTACATAAAACCAGCCCCAGTGTTGCAGTGCCCACTGCAACACAAACTCCTGAGGCAAAAGGACTTATGTTTGGCTTAATGCTCACTGCTGCTTTCTTGAAATTCATAAGAATTTTTTAGCAAGGAGCCCCAAATTTTCATTTTGCACCAGGCCCTGCAAATTGCCTAACTAGTCCTTTATACAATAGCTTGCATACCAGAAATATTTGTCTTTGATTAATATTTTATTGGCTGTGTCTACAGGTCTGTATGTACTTACACTGCTATGGAGATGAATTCATAGATGTGGGTGTGATTTCTTTGGGAGATTCCACTGTTAAGGTCTCCCCAGACCTGGAATAAAGAATGAGCAGAGAATTCTCTCCTGGCAAGCTCATGAGCACTCCACTGCCCTCTAGATGGGCTCAGTTGGCCGTTCTCCCAGAACAGTTGTCCTTCATGAGCACATTGATGAACTCAAAACGTGTTACTGCACAAATATTAAAGGAATGTATAACATAGAATTAACCCCAATTAATAATTGATTGCTTTCTTTCTTCTGTCTTATTTCTGTCCACATCCAGATAGGAAAATAAATTTTCAGAATAGAGAGTAATGTGATATTCCCCTTTCTCCCTGGGCACCTATGATAAGTATTCTTCCACCCTGCAGGATTGTTTCCATAGTTTTTATTTCTCATGGCAACCTCCTCTCCCATCAATATAATCCTATGTAATTAACTTTGGAATGGTCCTTTTATCAACATGTGTTTTCACTTATTCTTATTATTTTAACAAACCTCATAGTGAAGAACCTGGGTCATGCCTGGTGGAGACTGTGCTGGGTACACAAAGATAAAAGTATGACCTGGCTCTCTGTAAAAATTAAAACTTATAAGCATCTTTATTTCTCCTTTTCTTCCCTGTTCACTTCCAGAGGAGAAATTTCCTGGAGAGATTTTTGAGTCAAAAAAAGCCAAACATTTTAATGGTTTTCATCATATATGTCAAATTGCTTTTCAATTCATAATCCCTCTCACAATGCACAAATACACCTGCTTCACTAAATAGTGCCAACATGGAGAACACCATAAAAATCTTTTTCTAATAGGTGTAAATACAGAATTGTTCTAATTTGCATGTGGTTCTTTGAAAGCTGCCCTCCAAGTTTCAGTAACTGCTTGCCTTACTCCTAACACTATCTCCACAAAACTTTTTTCCCTTCCTGTGATGAGGTTAGGAGACACAGCCTTATTTTTTTTTTACTCAGAAAATATCATGTGAACTAGTAAACTTCTTACACCATGCAGAACCAGTCCCTTAAATAGGAATACATATTCCATCTAAAAATTGTACTTGTCCAAGATACTGGTTCCTTTCATCCCTTCCTTGAATTGGGCAGGATCACTTGAAACAGAATCTGCTGTTACAAACATCTTCACACTGTAAGACTCACTCGTGGCAAGCCCCCTTGGCATATCTAAGTGAGGGTGTAGTGGGGAATACTCTGCTCAAATCGTTCCAATGAGTAGATTCCCCACGGGACACATGGGTACAGCAGTACCACTGCCCCCGAGAGAGAGTGTGGCAACCCTAACTGACAATGGCTTTCCCCCTTTGAAGGCTGACCTGGTGGGCAGGCCAATGGTCCATGGCTCAAGCTGAGCCAATCACATTCTTGTCCCTTGACACATGGCCAGTGGCAGCCACAGGACTCCAAGCCCTTTGTAATCTGCCAGTGGGTGCTCCAGGTCCTAGACGACGACAGAGCCAATCTGTCCCAGGCCATCTGTGGGAATGGGCTGCTGACCCTCTCCTGCACTGGACCCAGGACATCTCTCCACCTGTAAGGAAGACTTGCCATTTAACAAAGTCCCCTTCTCTGTGACTTTGCTTCCCACAGGTTCAGTTACCTGCAATCAACTGCGGTCTGAAAATATATAATGGAAAACTCCAAGAAGAACCCATCCATGAGTTATGAACTGTACCATGTAAGTGACCTCATGGGCTCTCCCTCAGGTTCCTGGTACTTGAGCCCCCATGTGTCAGGGACATTCTGCCTCTCTGTACCAGATCCACTGTCTGAGAATCCCTTATTTTACTTAATGGCTTCAGTGGACAAGAGGAGTGATGCTTGATTCTGGTAATTGTTCTATTTTATTACTATACTACTGTTGCTAGTCTCTTACTTAAGTCTCTGACTTAATTAGAAATTAAACCCTACCCTACATAGATATATATGTAGGGAAAGCATCATATGAGCAGGCCTGGAGTCTTGGAACATATCCACTGAGATGGGGAGGCCACTGTTCCTAGTCATGCAGACTTTTTCTGCATCTTGTGATATTGGTTGCTCTCAACTACATACATGGATTTCCATAATTATAAAACGTCTAGTTGGGTGGTTTGGTACATGATGTCATTTGTTCAATGAATGCCTACCAGGGTCAACTCTGAGCACAGCTGCTGGAGAGGGAAGTCCCACATTCTCATGCAGGCCATCAGCCCCCCAAATGGTTTTGCTTTAAACTAGAAGTGAGAATCACACTTCACTGTGTTCCCTCATCCTGCACTGAAGCAAATCTACCCTGGCCAGAAGCTGGGGCTCAAGTAGGGTACTGGAAACTCAAAATATTTACTAGATGATCAACACCTGGGCTGGCAGCTGGCCTGCAGGAAAGGAAGATGGAAATCATTGAGCTGTTGAGCACTCTGTGGTGAGGGAGATATGTGTTTAGCAGAAGCATCAGGTTTCACACAAGTGCTCCCTGTTGGTTCCTCTTCTCTGGAGTCATCTGCTACTCTTCCATACTCTCACCTTTGAACACTATCCAGAAGTGTGAATAGCAGCTCCAGGGCCTGGATAGCTTCTCTTCCTCCAAGGCAATGTGAGGTGAGGGCTTGGTCCACTCTACAGAGGCTTTTGTGGTTACAGCCATAGCCCAACAATGGCACCCACACCACAGGGCCTTGAGTCCTCAGCATATTGGAGAGGCGACATGAATGGTTACCCCACCAGAGCTGAGGGTTGTGTGTGGAACCAGTGAGAAAGGAAAGAGGATATTCCTGGAAAGCAAAGATCTCTCATCTCAGGAACCACTTCCTTCTATCTGTGAGAAGCCAGGCTCTGCAGAAGGGTCATAGGATATGGAGGAGAGAGCTGTCTGCTGGAGGTGCACAGATGTCATGATATTTGTCTCATTTATCTCTGTCCTGACTTCCAGGCTGACTCCCTGGAGGAAGGGACTGACATGAATAAGGAGGGGATGTGTGGCCCCAGCCTCAGGAAGCCAGAGCACAGGACCAGACTCTGAGGACTTGGTGAACACACCGGCATCTCTGTCTCCTTCACAAGGTGCTCTCTCCCCTGCTGTGGCCCAACAGGATGATTGATGGGAGAGGGTCCTGGGGGCTTGGCTGAGAGGGTGGCAGAGAAGAACGGTTAGGGGAGACCACTCCTCACCTCAAGGAGGGTCCAGGAATAAGGGAACAGAGAGTGAATGACACCAGAGCAACCTGTGGCCACCAGGAAAACATCAGTGAGTGCTGAGGAAAAGTCAAGCTGTGATTCTGATTAGAGTTAAGTAGAAAGGAATAATAATAAATGGTTATGTCAGTGTGGGAAGATCATAATTTACTTATTTCTGTTTGTTTTCCCAACTGCGCCTCTTCTATCTGTGGTGTTGATTGGGGTCTTCGCACCTCCTCACTGCCCACACTGCCCTGCCCTGCTTCTCTCATCCTTCAAGACACGACACAGCCTTCCACCAATTGACAGTTTGTCCTCTGCACCCATTATAGTCACTTTCAGCTGAAAACAAACACAACTCCAGAAAATTTGACTAAAAGTAACTTTAGCTATTTAGGAGAAGATATTCCCACTCATCTGAGGCTATTCAGCACATATAAGCACTCATCCATGATTGAAACATAGATTTAGTGTGGGGACATCTAATCTCGTTTTTTTTTTTTTTTGGTTGTTGTTGTTGTTTTGTATTTTGCAAGCAGTGCTAATTTTTACGCCAGGTAATGTAGGGAAAATGAAGCATTATGATTCTACAACTTAATGAGGTTCCCTGTTACTCCTTTCATAATCTGTCACTGGTCTTGACTAATTTATTTATCCATGTCATAATAGGAAAGAGGAAATGGACCTTACTTTCCAAATGACCAAAGCCACAGTGTGTAAATGTGAGTCACAGACTAAAGTTCATTGCTCAGTCAGAATTATTAAAAACTTATTCTTGAGTGAACAGTGTGGTTAGTAGGACCTCTATTGTCCTGGAGAAAAGGAAAATGTGAAGGTTAGTTAATAGTAATGAAACTGGTTAAGGTACTAATTTTAGACGATGAGGTAGAAAGTGGTGGGGCCCTGGAGAGGATGTCAGGAAAGTAACTGAGGAAAGTTTTGTTCTCTGGACCCCTGTAAGGACACATGGCGGCTTGGCCAAGTAGACTGATGTTTCAGTAAGGGTGAAATGGGCATGTGTTAATTGTGGTTGCCTGGCAGTAGGGCTCCTCCTCACAATAAGAACACATACACACAAAAAGCAATGGGTAGTGATGTAATGGGTGCTAACTCAACCTCGGGGAGATCTACAGATGAGGAATCTGAGACACCCACATGTCCTGGTCATTGCCTCTGTGTGGCCTGGCCTGTAATCGTCACTGTGTGGACAGAGCAGAAAGGAGGAACCACTGAGTCACTCTCTTAGTGGACAAATGCTAGTAGCCCACTGCTTACTTTGCTTTCTCCTTTGCCTGTTGATCCCTAAAAGATTTGATCCTTCTTGTAGAAGAGAAATGGGATCCAACCATTTCTTGGAGCACATATGTTTACTGTTGCTTTCTCATGAAAAAAAACACTGAAGAGACTTCTGAGAATGCATACACTCACAAATATAGGAGAAAGAATACTAAAACATGGAAGATGAAAAGCAGATTAACATCTTCAAAGAAGAGAAGATATTGCACTCATGAAAGGAGAAGAGGAGAGGTGGGAATGTCAAGAGGTTAGAGAACCTAGAACACAGAAGCTATACAGGGAGAGGGATAAAGACACTCCTCAGAGGATGAAGAGTGATCCTAGGACAACAGTGATGCCCAAGGAGAGAAGAAAAACCAGCCCAGAGTCCAGACTGTCATAGAAGTTTATTTCAAGGAGTTGAAATTGATAGACTTGGGGTATCTAAATGTATTGAAAATTTTAAACAATGGAGACTGTTTTAATGATAAATAGAAAAAAAAGATAGGGGAGTTAAATATGAACTTCAACCAAGAAAATAAGCTTTTCAAGAAACAGTTATAACTATGTGATACATAGTCATAATTATGTAAACAGTAAGTACTGACTAAGCTAAATTACCATGATGTTCTACTGGACTGTGGATAGCTAGGAAGACACCTGCATGGTGAGGGCTGTGGGAACTGTGAGGAGAAAAGAGAGTTCTTTTTCATTTTCCACAGGGCAATTGTTGTAGTCAAGCCTGGAGTGGAAAAAGTGAGAGCCAATAAGTGTACTATTTAGAGAGACATAGAGAAGAGTACCAAAAACATAAACTAGTAGAATTAAAACTTGTTGCATCAGGCATGGAAGATGGTGGAGTGAGTGAGTGGAAGATTTATTTTCATTACAAGTCATGTGTCTGTTCAGTTCTTTCAATTGATGTGTAAATACAGCTGGTACTATGGTGTAGATCTAGAATGCTCCCCACCAAAAGGCTCATGTGTTCAGAGGTGGAGCTTTTAGAATGTGATTGAACTTAGAGGCACTATACTTATCAGTGGATTAATCCACTGACCGACCCATAGCTGAATGTGCTGTTGGGAGGTGGGACATTGTAAGAAGAGGTGGTTCACTGAGGGCATAATCTAGAAGGATGTATCTCCTTCCTCAGCTCCTCTTTTCTCTCTCTACTTCCTGGCTGCCATGACATGAAGAACTTCCTCAGCCAGACCCTTCTACCTTGCCCTTCCTGCCATGGAGATTGCTGATTATTGACTGAATCATCTAAAAACCATAAGTCAAAATAAATCTCTCCCACTTTAAGTTGTGGGTACTGGGTATTTTTCCCTACTGATGAGAAGTGACTATGACTAATTTTGATAGTAGAGCAGTAGGTTCATTGCAGTGACTGTATCTGATCATGTTGTCTAGAAGTTTTTGGCAGTGGTTCATGGGAAGACTTTGGAAAAGTTTGGAGATATTGTCTAGAGAAAGTCTAGAAGGCTGTAAGCTGAGCTTCGTCGGAGATTCTGCCCAGAGATCAGAAGATCAGAACAATGACAGAAATGCACAAAGTAAAGAGACAGGCTCAGGAGGTTTCAGTTGGGAACAAGGGCTCTGTTGGCAGTTGGACTAATGACAATGTGTGTTACGCTGTGGAATAAAATTTGTGTATATTTTTCCCATGTCCTAAGACTTTATGAGAAACTGAGATTAAGGGCAAGGGCTAATTAATCTAGCAGAGGAAATTTCAAAGCACCCCAGTGTTCAAGCTCTGGCATGAATATTGCTGGCTGTTATTAGCCAAATTTATAGAGAATCAGGGGAAAATATTAAAGATATGAAAATTTTCATGTCAAAAGATATGCAATTTCAGTAGAAAGAAAGTACCTATAAGCTTGAGGTCATGGAGAGTGTGGTTGCTGAAAAGATTAACATTTAAAAAAAAACAAGTACTTTACATTAGGACAATAGAAAATGTGGCTTAGGGACATCTTAGGAATCAGCAAGATCCCACACTTTGAAGGCTCAAGGGTATAAAACTGCAAAGCTTTCATTTAAAAGAGCCCTGAGTCCCTGCTGAAGAAGGGCCACTTAGGGAATTGATTCCCCAGGATTCATTTCACAGTGCTCAGCCATCATTCAGAGGCCTCTGCAGCCATGACTCAAGAGAACCCAACTACTGCTCCAGGTCAAAGTAGACCTCGTTGCCATCTATGTGGTGTTGGTTTTATGGGCATGCAAAATGTAAAGGTTGTGGGGTCAAGGAGGCTTTCAGCCAGATTTTAGGAGTTCTGGATGTGTGTGTGCCTCTGAGATGAAAGTACATTCCTGAGAAGGCAATACATGGAGCTATGAGAGAGAAGTTGAAAATGCAGTGGGGACTCCGGGAAGTTGGATATACTAGGAACCTGAATCATCTGAGGAAAGGTGAAAGCAATGAACCGCCCTGAGAGACACCATGAGGACTGCAACCAGAATGTCATAGGAGTGGGGCTGCCCCAGCCTTTTGGAGTTCATATCCCACCACAACTTTCCCTAGGTGCATGGAACATGGAACTGGAACATGGGACTACAGGATTTAATGTTTGCCATGCTGGGTTTCAGTCTTGCTCTGGTCTGATTCCTTTCTATTCCCTCTATTTCTCCCTTTTGCTATGGAAATATTCACCCTGTGCTATTGTATGTTGGCAGTGTTTAACTCCTGCTCCGCATCACAGGGGCTCACAACTAAGAGTTTGCCTTGTGTCTCAGAGGAGACCTTGGAAACTTTGAAGTTGGATTTTTCAGATAATGCTGGAACTGTTAAAACTTCTGCAACTCTAATGTAAATTACATAAAGAGATGCAAATTTACTTTGAACAAAATTTGCATAAACAGATGGACATAAGTTTTTTGGGTGCCAGGGTTGGAATCTTATGGTTTAGATCTAGAATGTCCCCCTAATTGCTCATGTGTTTAGAAGTAGGGCTTCTGGAAGGCAATTGGGTCTTAGAATCACTATATTCATCAGGTGGATCAATCCATAGTTGAATGTGCTGCTAGGAGGTGAAGTTTTGTTGGAAGAGACAGTTCATTGTGACCTGCAAGCGTGTATCTCCCTCCCCAGCTCATCCTTTCTTTCTCTGCTTCCTGGCTGGCATGATGTGAGAAGCTTTCCTCTGACAGATCCTTCCACCATGCTCTTTCTGCCTTGAAGCCAGCCAGTTATGGATTAAGTCCTCTAAAAACTGAGCCAAAGCAAACCTCAGCCTGAGAGAAATATCAGAGACTTTCTATTCTGCAGAAAGCCTATGATCTTTTATGTCACTATTCTAGTTGATTTCATTGCTGTGGAAGTTGTCAACATCATTAGGTGAATCAGATGTAGGCTATGAGAGTTGTTTCTCAGGGATGAAATCCAGGAAGACCTCTCCTGACGATCTGAAGACTCAGAAGCTTGGCCCTCAGCAGTGACTTTGTAATCTACCCATGTGGCTGGGCTAAACTGCCTTTCCAGGAATTGACTTTCTTTTATGTTTCTGGCTACAAGGAAGGTTCTGGAGCAACTAGAAGTCCCAAGGCACTTTGTACTCACATGCTTGCTGACCAGCTTGAGTTCACCTGTCATGAGAAGCAGCAGGCAGAGGTAAATTGTTCTGTCTTCTGTGTCCTAAATTTCTCAGATCCCAGGGTCAGCTGTGTTTTCCTCTCTGTGGCCCAGGGCCCCAGCTTCTTCAGAAACCCACACAAAATTAGGGACATCTGGGGTCTGTTCTCAGCCTCAGCTTGTGCCATGAAGGTGCCTTATACATGGCTATCTCTTTCTGGCTGCCCCTGCAGCTCCCTCCCAGTGGTGCAGAGAAGACTTAACTAACTCCCTAGTTACAGACTCAATGTTCACAGTCCTCC